TTGCAAACGATATTTTCTTTGCAGCTTGCAAAAACATAATCAAAAAATTAAGTAATGTAATTCTTAAGGTCAGGGAGGAGTAAAAATAGAGTCACAGAAGTCATAGAAATCATTTGTCGCCGTGCCATGGATATTTATGAAAAAAATAAATAGAAAATTGCTGGCGTGGTTAGCTACCGCATTTCATTCCCATAGTAGCATTTATCGTACACTCTAAGAAAAATTACAGTTTTTTGTATCCAATTTGATATAGTTTTCTGTATCCGATCACTGTGATACAGCAATATGTATCGGTGATACAAAATCTTATAATAGTTTATAGAAATTTGTACACATTACAATTTTTTTAATTAATTTCAGGATTTTACATTCATTTTATAATTTTCTGTAATCTGATTACAAACTTCTGTAAACGGGATACACATTTCTGTAACATGGAAACAGAAATTAGTACGTGCGGTCAAAACTTCACCGTTTTAACGCTCAATTTGAACACAATTTGAGTAGCTGTTCGACTGATTCTGGCACCATCTGCGATAAAATCAATTTCCTAAGCATTCACATAAAAATTCCATCTGATAGCCCGATAGCTAAGGGAAAAACTAAGAGGCCAGCCAATACATGGGGAAGAGTGACACCGGGTCAGAGCACGGCTTCTCGCAGGTAGTCGCAGTAGCCGCGAGGGTTAAGGCGTCGAATCCCAACCCAGAGGTCCGGGGTTCAAATCCCGGTAAGGTAAGATACAACTTTGAAATTAATTGCGTGCCATGTGTGGGCAAGATCTAGAATGAGACAACCAGCAGGGAAAAAATATTTATTTTTTTTCATATCAGAATGTTTGAACACAAACATATTTTTTTCTGTATCGATGGATACAAATTTCTGTATCCGTATTACAGATTTGTTATTGTATCCGAAAGAATACAATTTTTTGTATCACGGATGCTGAAAAAACTGCATATCCAAATTACAGATTTTTGTATTATTTTTTTTTAGAGTGTACTTTAGCATGTGACTTCCGTTTTCTTGTTCCTCGCATTCTTCTGCATTTCAGCTTTACCGGAATGCTTTATAGGGTATTTCGGACAAGCGAAGCGCCGGAAACGAGAGGCGAGGATAGCGCTGGACGAACAGACCATTCCGCTGAGCCGAAAAAGAAGAAAAGAAGGAGGAAACGTTTTAAGATACAAAGCTACACGAAAAATTTTAGGTACCTAGAGCTCAAACCGTTCGAGTAATCCTGATTACAGACAGACACACAGACAGACGCGAAACGTTTTGATTACCACTGGAATAATAGGCTTCGCTAGTCGCTCAGCCAAATATACCTATTTGTGACGTCACGCCAGGGTGGGGGTTGGGGGTGGTCGGCCAAACCGTGACGAAATGTGAAAATAAAGCATTCCGGTAAAGCTGAAATGCAGAAGGATGCGGGGAAGAAGAAAAGGGAAATCACTATGCTGTAACATGGTGATTTCCGTTTTCTTCTTCTTCACATTCTTATGCATTTCAGCTTTACCGGAATGCTAGGA